GTTCTGCCTCAGCACCAGGGGAGATAAAGGGCTCTTTAAACAGACACAAGGATTAAGCAATTTTAATCTCACAAAGGAAACCTCTAATTCAACCATTTCTCATTACTGTAACAGTGAAATCACAGCAGGGCTGAAATCATTTGCATAATTTACAGCTGGTTCTAAGGCTGATCCCAATCACACACTGGAGAAATAAAAACCTCCAGCATCCCTCACGTGACGGTTTTGGATTCTGGGTTCAGTCCTCAGTAAGTGAATCAACAAGAGCTCTTCATCCTTTTAATGCTGTCTTCCTGCAAGAGCCGCCCCTTCACAGCAAACAACTACCACAGATTATTACAAAAATACTCCAGATAGCTGGGAAAACTGCTTTTAAAACTTACTTAATTATCAGATACTTACTGGATTGTCTCACTCTTCTGTACACAACAAACACAACAACTGCAATGAACAGCAGTGCCACTGCAGCTCCAATTGCAATTCCAGTCAGCTGGGAGGGAAATTTAGGGGGAAAGAAGTTAATACTTTTCAACTTTATAAATTACCATGTACTTTTTGGAGGGCTGGTGAACAGTCAGCTCAGTAAGATGTTCTGAAAATCAAGCACGCTCATGAATACTTGGTTTTTAATTCAAGCATCAAATGTGCAAGAAATTTAAGATCTATCAGTGGCTCACATGCAAAATATTCCACATTTTTCTTCCCAAAGATCTATGAGCTGATCAGCTCAATGTACAGGAGATGGACAAGGCCCTAGAGTGACAGGACAAGGGGAAATGGCCTTCAGCTGAAGGAGGGCAGGGTTAGATGGGGTATTGGGAAGGAATCCTTCCCTGTGAGGGTGGGGAGGAGTTGGGATGGAATTCCCAGAGAAGTTGTGGCTGCCCCAGCCCTGGAAGTGTCCAAGGTCAGGCTGGACTGGGCTGGGAGCAACCTGGGCTGGTGGAAGGTGTCCCTGCCCATGGCAGGGGGTGGGACTGGATGAGCTTTAAGGTCCCTTCCAACCCAAACCATTCCATGATTCTAAACAGCAGGGATTAATTCCTGCCTCGGGCCCAGTGACAGCAAAGAAACAAACACTCAGACTTTGGTGACAACTGCTGATGATTCAGGAGAAGCTGCACACTCTGGATGCACAGCCAACCTGCAGCCACACTTTACCATAGTGGTGTGGATCCTGTCCTCCACAAACTGCAGCATGGGGGTTGCATCTCCTGGGCTCACAGCCTGGCACCAAAAGGAAGGTGAAATTAGTTTCCCACAGCTGGCAAAAAAGCCTCCATAAAAAAAAACATCTCAGTGCCTGGTCTGTCACATACCTTAAAACACAACTCGATTGTGTTTTTTCCACGTCTTTCTTTGACTTTGCAAACACAAACATTCAGTGGAGAGGGGCTATTAGGGGAGTTTTGAGTTGAGTTCAACACATTCTAAACGGTCCTAAACCGGGTGACAACTTTTTTTGGTGGTTTTAAGTTATTCAGAGAAACAAGGACGAGAATGGAATGTAAAAGACTTTATGAGACTGAGAAAACAAGCCATAAACCAGCAGGTTAAAGTCATCATAAAAAGCAAATGATGCACAGGGCCAAAAGCCCTGACCTCAGGTGGCTGCCCTGGGACCTGTGCCCACCACTGCTTCTCAGGAATAAAACCTGGTTGTTAAAAGAACCTCACAAATGCCACTTTAAAACTGTGGAGAAGTTGGGGGGAAAGGCAAAAAAAAATACTACAAACAAGTAGTGAACAAACCCAGCACAAGATGTGTCCCCCTGCAAGTCCTGAACCTGCCAAGCCCTTGAATTAAGCACTACACACAGTTCTGGTAACAATTCCTGTCCCTGGTTCCAGACCTGGGTGACATCTGGGTTTAGCTTTGCCACCAAGAGAAAAATGAAGTGCACACCGAGTCACCAAACTGGTCTCTCTCATAATTCCAGTTCTGCAGCAGAAATGAAACTCCTGCCTGACCACTCACCTCTCACTGCGCTCACTTGGGCCTCTCAGGTTCCTTTAACACAGCACATGGACAGTTTATCTTCCCAGCATGAGCCAAACTAACGGTATCACTATTCTTATCAGACTGTTATCCATGGGATTGTAGTACAAAGTCACAAGAATTTGAAAAAAAAAAATAAAAAGCTGAATACGTGGTAGCAACAGATGCAACACCTGGTGACACAGAGAGTGCTTGGTGTAAACCCACTGTGGTCACTGAATGTATTTCCCCTTGACAGTGTGAGGGACATGGACAGCTCCGCTGCTCTCCAGGCCTGTAGGATCTCAAATAACATCCAAAATAGTAGTTGCCAACTGACACTCTCAGTGCTGCTCCAGGAGGAGGAGAAACAAACCCAAGAGCCAAAGAACAAAACCCCGCCGTGCCTGGAGGGAACCCTCGGGCCTCGACGAGGGAAAGAAGAAATTCAGAGCTCCAAGAAACACTGAGAGAGGTTTCTTGCAAGGTTTTCACCGGTGAAAACATGATATTCCCCCACCCAGACCTGGGGGGAGGATCTTTTCCAGCCCTGCCAATCCTGCTGGAAAAGCAGAGGAAGCGAAGCAGCCAAGGCTGAGCTGTGGAGACACCTGGGAATGTCAGCAATTCCTGGGCCATGACAGCACCTGGGGCAGGTGTGAGGTCATGGGCAGCTCCTCTCTGAGGAGGGCTGGGGCCACCACCCAAATCCAAGGACTTCACAGGTGCCTCACACAGCCCCAAACAATTCTCAGACCCAAAAAAACACCAGTGGGATAACCCTGAAAAAATCCCTCATTGCACCAAAAAATGGAGCAAAGACCTGCTTAGAGGCTGGATTTGGATAAAGAGCTTTTCTCTGCTTCTCAGTGTTGCAGTTTCCTTAAGAAGCAGAGACTTCACAGCGATCAGCACCAACAAGCAGCCTCACACCCATCCAGAGTCCAGGCACCAACACTCAGCTCTGCTGGGAGTCCAACAACACCTCCCTGCAGTCCAAGGCAAACACCGAGACATTCCCCGTCCTGGGAGGGGTGGGAAAAGCTTATCAGCACTGAAAGCAAGGCCTTCAAACTGGGACTGCCCAAAACATCAGATTTCCTCCCTGCTCTGAAGCACCCAGGGTCACATGCCTTGTTTTGACTACAGGGACTGGAGTTTCACAAAACACTCTGAAGAGCTCAGGAGTAGGTTGTGTGTGTTTTTCAGTTCTGAGAACTAAACCAGAAAAGAATAGAACTATTTTCTTTCTCCTGGCTGTGAAAAGCACCACACACATGCCTTGCTGGACCACGAGTTTCCAATTTATGGTTAAGAATAAATGCAAGGAGAGCAGGCTGCCAGAATCCTGCAATTCTCCCTTCCTTAGGCTAAAACCATACAAAACAAAAGTTATTTAAACCATATAATTGTGCAAACGGTTTAGAACACAAAGCAGAGTGTGAATGGCTTGCAAGAAATCAAAAAAATTTTGAAAATAATAAAAAGCACACGTGCACTAAAATGGGACCAGTCCTAAAAAGTTTGAAAGGGTAAAGCTCTTGGAAAGATAAAACTCTTGGAAAGAAAGGTTCCCTTCAAAGTCAAAGCACCTAAAGGCATTGTCCAAATGTTATCAAATTAGGTACAGCACCTAACAACACTCCCAGGGAAATAAATATGCCCAAAACCAAGAGCGAAGCAAAGTACCTGAAGGCTGGTGCCGTTGTCATCTTCAGCCATGTCTGGAGGCACAGCAGGAGCAAAAGTAAAACCAAAAAGAGAAGATTGAGTTAAGAGGTGATGACACTCTCTGATCCAAATTCTTGAACAATACAAGAACACAAGGGGAAAAATAACTTTTTAACTTCACCATCCCTTTGTGCCGAGCAACAAAACCCAGCAGTGGAGTGCTGGGGGACAGGGTTGTGTCTCCTAAAGGAACTCCTCCACAGCCACGGGAATTCACACACGGGACAATCGCGGGTGCTCACAGCCCCGTGGCACAGCCAGAGCCGCCTCTGGGCACCCGTGCTCCAAGGAAAAGGGAACACGGGGATGGCACTGCCCGGGGGACACCCACACCGGGAGAGGGGATCGCGGCAGGGCCGGGCTGCGGGGCCGGGCAGCACCGGGGCACCCTCCGGGTCAGCCGGGGTAACCCTCCTGGTCAGCTCGGGTCAGCCCCGGGTCACCGTCCTGGTGACCCCCCGGCCAGACCCGGGTCACCCTCCTGGTCAGCCCTGGGTCACCCTCCCGGTAACCCCCCGGCCGGACCCGGGTCATCCCCCGGGACAGCCCCGGGTTATCCTCCTGGACAGCCCCGGCCCGACCCAGGCCATCCTCCTGGTCAGCCTCGGGTCACCCTCCCGGTCAGCTCCGGCCGGACTCGGGTCACTCTCCTGGTCACCCCCTGGCCATTCCCGGGTCACCGTCCCGGTCACTCCCCGGCCGGACCCGGGTCACCACCCCGGGTCATGCTCCGGGTCAGTGCCGGGTTACCCTCCTGGGCAGCCCCGGAACACCCCCGGCTCGCCCTCCCGTGCCGTGTCCCGTCTCGCCCGGTCACACCTCGGGACCCGGGCGGGCAACAACAACCCCCTCCCGCCGGGGCACTGCGGGGCCGCCCCGCCCGCAAGGCCCGGGCCCGCCGCCGCTCCCCGCCGAGCCCCGCCACCCCGGCACGCTCTCACCTGCAGCTGCCCCCGCTCCCGCCGCCGTTCCCGTTCCCGTTCCCGTTCCCATCCCGATCCCTTTCCCGGTGCCGATCCCGGGCCGGGGCCGAAGGGCGCGGGGCGCACTCCCCGCCCGCCGCCGCCAGGGGGCGCCCCCGCGCCGGGACCCGCCCACCCCCTGCACCCATTGGCGGGAAAGCCCCGGCCGCGCCAAGCCACGCCCCTCCCGCGGGATGCTCGCCGATGATTGGGTGGGATCTCGCGGGGGAGCATCGGCGCTGCGGATTGGCTGGTGTGCGTCGGCCAATGGGAGCGGGCGGTGTTGCGGGGTGGGGAGGCGGGAGGGCTGCTCCGGGTCGTGAGGGGAGAGAGGAGAGAGCGGCCCGGGGAGCCCTCGGGGGACTGGCCCTGCTGAGGAGAGAGCGGCCCGGGGAGCCCTCGGGGACTGGCCCTGCTGAGGAGGGATCGGCCCGGGGAGCCCGCACTGCCCTCGGGGACCGGCCCTGCTGAGGAGAGACCGGCCCGTGGAGCCCGCACTGCCCTCAGGGAGAAGCTCTGGCTCCGCTGAGGGAGCGGCCTCGCTCTCAGTGACCGGCTCCGTCTCCGCTGAGCCCTCGATCCCCGCCATGGGGCTGCTGTCGCAGCTGGCCCGCGGGCTGGTGCGCGGCGCCGACCGCCTGTCTCCCTTCACCAGCAAGCGCGGCCCGCGGACCTTCAACAAGGGCCGCGGCGCCAAGAAGCTGGGCGTGCTCACCAGCAGCAAGAAGTTCCTCCTCGTCAAGGAGATGGTGCCGGAGTTCGTCGTGCCCGACCTGACGGACTTCAAGCTGCGGCCCTACGTGTCGTACCGCGCCCCCGAGGGCTCCGAGCCGCCCGCCACGGCCAAGCAGCTCTTCGACCAGCTGGTGGCTCCGCGCATCGAGAAGGACGTGAAGGACGGCACGTTCGAGCCCGGCAATCTGGAGAAGTACGGCTTCGAGCCCACGCAGGAGGGGAAGCTCTTCCAGCTCTTCCCCAAGAACTACGCGCGGTAGGGAACGAGCAGCGCCCGCGGCGGGGCCGAGGCACGACCGGCACTCGCGGGACAGGCTCTGGCGCCGGACATTAAAGCGAGTCCTTCCACCTCGTCCCTCTGCAGTGTGTGATTTAAATCCTGGGGGGAATTGGCCGTTCATTCCGCGCAGTTGTGCCTGGAGAGCACGGCCCTGCCTGTGAGTTTCTAAACACAAAGTACTGCAAAGTTTAGAGTTGAATTAAGGATGAAAACGCGCTCTGGGAGAAGGGAAGCACATTCAGTGCGTGTTCTGAGCACCCAGTCCGAGTCCTGAAGGAGGTGTCTGCAAACCCCCCCGTTTTCGGGGCTGGGGAGGCCAGGAGGGGTTGGTGCTGCTCTGGCTCCCAGATCTGAGTCCTGCAGCCCAAATCCCCACATGAGCGAGTGCAGGATCACCCACAGCGGGGGGAGGGGAAGGCACAGCTTTCCTAACTCCAGTTAAACTCTGCATTTCTCACTTCCTGTGAAGCTCATCAGAGTGAGTTACACACGAGTGGTGGTTTTCTGCCTTCAGCTCTGGGTGCAACACCTCAGCCCTTCCTTGCAGAGACTTTCTTTCCATGTGAAGGCAGATTGTAACTGGAGCCTCCTCATTTCTCTGAGCAAAGCAAGGGCTGGCCTAAAGCCTAAACCAGTCTCAGTCTGGTCCCAGTGACAGCACTGCAGCTTTGCTGCCCTCGGGCTGTTCCCTCTCCCTCTCACAGGGCAATAAAAGGCGTTACAAGCTTTAAAACAGAGCTACAAGGACACACCCTCGGTGTTCCCAGGAAACTGGTTCGTCCGCTCTGACTCCCAAAGAACATTCACCGAGTGCCCTCGGAGCCTTAGCCAAGTTCCTCTGATGTTTAAACCTCAAAACAACCAAGAAAAATAAAATCACTTGTAGTGGCTTTATTTTAGAAACATTCAAAAATAGCATGTTTTGGTTTTTTTTTTAATAAGAAAAGCTCTCGTTTGCAGCACTAATATGAATCTTCATGTAACAGTGCTCAGTGTTGTCTAAAATGCACACTCACCCTGAGCAGGGTCTCAGAGCAGTCAAGGTTCTCATCTGTGTGTCACTTGGATGCAGCACTGTTACACAGAGACCTGTTGCTGGTGTTTCTTTCCCCCCAGACAACTCATCCCTCAGGACATTCAGAGACAAACCACCCAAGCTAAGAGTTCCTTACCTAGTTTAAGCTGGTTCTCTGTTTCTAGGGACAGATCAAATGCTCCAGAAAGGGTGTTTTGCTGATACTTCACAGTGAGAAAAGAAAGCTGATGGAGCAACCATGAGAGATCCTGCAGCCATTCCTGGAGGTAGTTTGGGCAATGCTGCTCAGGTTTTGGTTTCTGTACATATTTTGAACTCAAAAAGATGTCAGGAAACGCCACTTAAACTCTGTGGAGGTTTTGATGTTAAAGCTGTTCACCTTTAAAAAAAGTGAAAGGTCTTGACTTTGGCCCTAAATGTGGAGAGCAGAAAACATGAGCTGGATACAAGAGGCTGTGGGGGTGGCTGAGTGGCACTAAAGGAGGGCAGGTCACTCCAGGGTTTATCTAAACCAGGCTGTGCTCACCTGGGAGGGGTGAGGGGAACTGTCATCAGGGCAGGAGCGATGGGAAATGAGGGAGGTGCAGCAGGATCCTCCCGGGAAAGGCCCTGCTCCCCACAACACTTCCATCTGAACTATGCTGCACTGTGCCTGGCCTGCCTGAGCTCTTCTCAAGGGTCTGGTTTGCACATCAACCTCTGCTCAGGGGCTTTTACAAGACATTCAGGGAACCTTCTGATCACATGCTGGGTCTGCTCACAGCAGCACAGTCTGGTTTGTGATGGAAGGAGGAGAACAGGCTGAACAGAGCAACGTGAAATGCAAACCAGCCTTGAAAGGACCCAAACCTGAGGTTCAAAGCCTGTGAGAGGAGGGCCGTCCCCCTTGGAACCAGGACATTAAGGGGAAAACTAAATAAAGCTGTCTGTGCTTAACCACAGGCCTCTAAGCAAAGGCTTTCCCCTGTGCTGAAAATAAAACACCAGGAATTCCATCAGTGTGGGCCTTGAAGGACTGCCAAGTTCAGCAATAAAACTGGGAAGGCCCAACAGGAGTTAGGCAGGGCGTTAAGTTCAGCTGTCACTCTCAGTTCAGGGGTTTTCCTGCCCCCTCTGCTTGGGAGTGGTCAATGCAGACTTTCAGCTGTTCTTCTGGATGGAGATCCAGGACTTGGCACATCAGGAGTGGTGCCCAGGCTCATCTCCCACCTCCAGACATGGAGGATGTTGTCGTAGAAGGAACAAGTGGCCACGATGCTCGTCTCTTTGGGGCTGTCCAGGCCAGTCCCATTGGAGCTCCTGGCTCTGGACTCAGAGCCCCTGGCTGAGCCGGGATCTGGGCCCCCAGCCAGGTCTAAACTGCCCTTTAAAGCAGAGCCCCTGCCCGGGCCAGGATCCCCAGCCAGCCTGGGAGCCGCCCCTGCTCCGGCAGGGCCCTCGCTCTCCTCATCCAGGATCACATCAAAAGTGGCTGTAGGAGACTCGTAAATTATCTTCAGGTTTTGGACCTGCAAATTCAGCCTCTTGTCTCCTTCCTCTGCTCCCGGGAGCTCCTCCAAAGGCTGGCATGTGGCAGCAGGGTCCTGTGCTGCAGGCAGGGAATCCCTGGGACACAGCCTGGACCAGTCAGCCCCGTAGGCCAGGGAGTTGTGCAGGACGTAGGATGACAGGATGACACACTCCTCCGTGTTCTCCGCTTTAAAAGAGAAAATAAAGCCATGAAATGAGCAGAAATCCAGTTGTGGGTTGGGGCTGCTCAGCAGCCATCCCAGCACTGGCTGTGCCCCACAGGAAGAGTTCTCTGATTGTTGCCTTCTTCACCACGAGGTGAAGCGTTCCAGGAGGAAGGAGGTACTGACCATTTCTCAGCCACCTCTCAAAGGCTTTAATTGTCCCTGAGCCAGTAGCAGAAGAGGGGTTAATATGCATGAGCTTTAGGAGCCTCATTATCCAAAATACCCACAAAGGCTCCAGACAGACAGGACTGATCTCCACGGTCTCCACTGAGCCAGCAACACACCTGGGAGATCTCCAGGCCACGTCCTGGTTATTAATTCATTGCAGATGTTCTTCCCATGAGCCTTCAGCATTTAACTGACAGTAACTGGACATCAGGTTCCTGCCTTCCCTGTACAGGAGAAATGTTATCCTCACTTCCTAAGCTGCCCAAGCTCTGAAGAAACCCAAGAAGGCTGTAAGACTGCATTGGTAATGTGAATGCAAAGAGCCTTTTCATCAGGGAAATACCTCCTGATTCACACAAAGGGCTTATTCACGTTATTCTGGATTAACCAGGCTGCTCAGCACCTCCCCCTGAGGCAGTAACCAGTTCCCCAGCAGGGCAGTGACTCCTGCTGACAGGAAAGCACCAAACTGAAATGGTTGTGTCACCAGGTAATCACAGAACCACGGAATACTCTGAGTTGAATGGACCCACGAGGATCATCAAGTCCAACTCTGAAGTGAATGGCCCCTACAGGGATCAAACCTTGGTGTTAATGGCACCATGCTCTGACCAGCTGAGCTCATCTCACCAAAACCAACCCGGGAAAAGGAGTTATGAGGGATTTACACAGAACAGTGGCAGGACCTTTGCACAACCCAGCAGGCCTACAGTGAGGACAGAGCTGGGAAAGCTGGAGGAGTTACCTCAAGCTGGAACAAGTCTATGGATATCACCTAGATGCTTCCAGAAAGTTGGAGCTGGAGTTCCCCCATGAAGCTGGAGGCAGGACAGGACAGTAGCAGGGCAGCCCAGCAGTGTCTCTGCTCCCTGCACACTCACCCAGGCTCCCACGGCAGTCCAGGATCTTGAACCCACTCTGCATGCAGGCTGCCAGCAGCACGAAATCACGCGTGGGGTGCCACTTCAGCCTCCACACCCCTCCTTCCACGTGGGTGTCAGCCAGGGGCTGCTTCATGTTCCTGCTGTCCCACAGCAGCACGTGCTCGTCGTAGCTGGAGACACCACGAACAGCAACACAGAGGAGGTGGGGCAGCAAGCACAGAGGAAAGTTAGGACAGATCCCAGGGAACTTCTGGAGAGGCAGCAGCGTGTTCAAGTAACACAGGAGGTTGGTCACACCAGGGAGGAGCAGCTGGAAGGGACTTACCTGCCCGTGGCCAGGAGGTTCTCCCGGTGGGGACTGCACTGAATGCTGCACACACCCATGGAATGTCTGCAGGAGAGGGACAGACAGCAGTGCAGAGCTTGAGAAGGGATTCTCTCTGGAGTTTTAAGGATTACTGCATCAAGGTGTCTCAGAAAGGACAGTAAAGTGAGCTCAGCTTTCAGTCCAGTGAGCCACCCGAGCAGAGTTCCATCTACACAGTCCAACTGCCTTCCCAGGGCAAAACTTTCCCTCTCACAGTCTCCCAGGACAAGTATTTTCTAGTAATATTTACACCATAAATTGCTGTTCAGAGCCCCTAAGAATTTCAGCAACACAACTGCATTCCCAGGAGTCTTTACTCCCAACATTAACAATTCCATGGCAGCAGTCCCCAGTGAATTTTAAGTTTACATACAAAGTTTCACTGGATAGTTGTGTGTATTGCTAAAATCATATTTTAAAAGACGGGAAAAGAGAAAGAAAAGGGATCACTTCAAATAAGTATTTTCTAAAAAAAAAAATCCATAACAAGATATCCAAATTTAACACAGAAAAAAACCCAAAATAAGAGTAAATTAGGATCCTTCTCTTAGAAAGAAGCTACCACCACCTTCATCTGTGGAAGTCCTTATGTTGAAGGACATGGAGAAGGAAGTTTCAACCTCAAGTTGTCATGATGGAAAAAAACCTAACAGATGCCTGCATTTCCCAAGGCAGGAAGAACCAGGACTCGCTGGCACTGCACATCTCTGGATTTGGCTTGGGAAGGGGCACAGTGGCACTCACCTCCTGCTGGTGAACACTGGAGCCTCTGGACTGCACCTGGTGTCCCAGCCCTTCAGCAGGCTGTCATCCCCTCCTGCCAGGGACAAAACACTGTGACCCCCAGCACCAGCCAGTGACAGCACAGAGCACAGAGGCAAAGAATTCAGTCTGCAGCTTCCTCATCAGGGGCAGCTCCAGCCTGTGCTCCCTGGGACAGCCCCCAGGGAATGGCTGGAGCTGTGTCAGGGCAGGGTCAGGGTGGATCTCAGGGAAAGGTTCTTCCCCAGAGGGTGCTTGGCACTGAACAGGCTCCCCAGGGCAGTGGGCACAGCCCCAAGGCTGCCAGAGCTCCAGGAGGGTTTGGACAACGCTCTGAGGGACAGGAGGGGATTGTTGGGGTGTCTGTGCAGGGCCAGGGGTTGGTCTGGATGGTCCTTGTGGGTCCCTTCCAGCTCAGTGATACAGAGCTGATGCTTTCCAGCCCTGGGGTCTCTTAAATTTTAACAGACACACCAAACATCACACTGAGGTTCACAATACCCATCACCACAGAAAACACTTGCATTAACAATACCCTCACTTTGTTAAGAAAAAAAAAAAAGTCAAAAGGACTGGACTCAAAAAGCTCTCTGTCTCTTTTGCACACTGCAAAGAATATAATCTCTTTTGCCAAGAGCCACCCAAAATACAGTTTACAGGGTACAGCTTCTCCTAATTAACTCCAACTACTCCCCACCATCAAGAAGCCTTTTACCCCAGTGGAGGCTCCACTTTTTCAAGAGGTGTGATGAAAGCACACCCAACCCTGGAAGGTAAAATCCCAAGGAACACACACCCCTAAACAAGATGCCCCCTGCCCAACACTCCCAAAGAAGATTCCCAGCCCACACAGACCTGAGTACACGATATCGGTGTCCCAGTAATTGAAAGCAGCAATCCAGGCCTCAAATTTGTGAGCTTCCCACTGGCTCAGGACATGCACAGAAGGAGCAGATTCATCTATGGAGAAAAGGTTCAGCTTCCCCTCTGAATCACTGCTGATCACTCTCAAAGGACATCCACTACAGGGGATACAGGGAAAACATCAGGAATTACTGAATCGTGGTTGATTCAGCTGAACACTGACAGGAGCTGGCAGCACGGTGGCAGGAATGACACATTCATACCATTCTTTTCAGCTTCAGCCCATCCCACCCTAAAATCACCTGCCCCAGTGACCACCACTCCCTGATCTCACGGGGAGCCACCACTCACACCCATGGGAGGGAAGGAACCACCCTTGGCTCTGTCCTTCTCTGAGATGCATAACTGGACTTCTCACGTGCTTGACATTACATCAAGAAACAAATTCCACGTGAAGAGCGAATTTTTTTTCCTCCAAATCAGACTGGCAAGGACCTTTCAGGGTCTCTCCCCTCTTCTGGAGTACAAAGAAATGTTTTACTCCCCTGCTATCGAAGCACTGGCTGATCCTGACCTTTCCTGCTCTCTTCCTGTGCCACAGTACAGTTGCAGTTTCTGGACACAGTGACCTTGGAGCAGTGCAAAAGCTCTGCAATTCCCAGTGCACAGATTTTCTGACATTTCCTGACATGAACTAAGTCCCTTTTGTTTGATTGCCTGCAACTGCAAGTACTGCCCTGGTGGCTCAGGGCTTCTTTCCAGTTCTACATGGAATGTTAGTTACACACTGAATCTCCCAGATTTCCACATGAGAGATACAGGGTTACCCCCTTTCTACAGAGAAATTATTGGTTTCTAGGAGAAAGTATTGATCTCTCCAGTGACAACAGTGACAGGCTTTAAAGGCACTTCACATCACTGCAATAATCATTTATCAAGAAGGACAGAGACAAAGAGGAATGTTAAGGAAGGACAAAGTCTAGCTGGGAATTCTACTTATTCATTAAACAACATGCACAGAAACAGCTTTAATTAGCAAAACCTACTAAGTATTTACCCTAGAGCATTTAGCAATGACTGCCTGATCCCCTCACTTTCCAGCTTTGCACCAAAGGTGCCACTCTCTGTTTTCACTTACACAACACCTTTACCTCCCCTCTTTCAAGGTACAGCTAAGTCAGGGTATTTCATGCAGTGATGCCATTTCTGAAATCTCATGTGTGAATGTTTGAGAAGAAGGACCCACTTCCAAAACAATTCTCTCCTGTTTCTCACACGTTTAAACTTCCCACATGTGCTATTAGTAGCAGTTCTTAAGCAGAACTTCACACTGAAATTTCAGCTGTTCCAAAAGCAGAGTTGAAACGAGTGGATCCATCTGCATCCCATTCTGGTCTTTCCTTTTAGCAAAGGCAACAGAAGACAGTCCCTGGCTCACCTGCTGCCATTCCCCAGAGCACAACCTCACATTTGTTGCTGTTTTAGCCTCTGCTCTTGTTACAGTGGCCACAGGACATGTTTGTGTTCCTTTGTTACCCTTGCTCGGGAAACAGCAACTTCTAGAGCAGGACCAGGGACACTGGCATGGAGAAAGTCAAACCCACTAAAGATTCATTCCTCCAAGTCCTCAGCTTCTCCTGGAAGTTGTCTCACACACACTGACCCAGCCTTCCCTCCCCTCCTCACCACTGCTCCCGTCCCGTGGACCAGTCCAAGGACAGGGCCAGTCGCTGTGCGCCGAGATCCACCCTGAAGCGTGGCTCCAACATGCAGCTGTTCTTCTACTGGAAACAAAAGGAATGGGTTCAGGCTGGGAAGACAGCAGGTCTGTAACAACAGGTGTACTGCTAATTCCCACTGCTTATCCTCTGTTTTCCAGAGACTGGTGAGCATGAGGGTCCCACAGCACTGGACAATCACCCATTACCAGCTGAGGGGCAGAAATGCACACACAGGATCCCACCCTTCTGCTGCCCATCTTCCCCCAAACCACCACTAAACTCTGCTTCCTCTCAGGGAGCGATGAAGTGCAGGAAAAATGACAACCTAACTGGAATTCCCTTACAGACTGGCTTCTGCTTTCTGTGCTCTGTGGGAATGCTTCTTATCACTCCGTGCTCACCACAAAAGAAACCCCACTCCAACATTCCTCCTGGCTTCTAACAGCTTTGTATCTCCTGCTCTTTACCAGTTAATCCATCCTTGTTCTCAAGTGACATTTCCAGGGTTTGCTCCTGCTCCCCTCCTGCCTCTCATCTCCCACTGTGCAGGTGGGTAGAGCCCAGCCAGACTCTCTGGTGCCGTGAGCAAGTTCATAGAATTTATGACAAACATCAGAAGACAAAACAAAGTGTTTGAAAAGCTAAGCAGGCTGAGAAAGCCATGGAAACCATCCAGCTTTCCTGCAACCCTCTGCACACTGCTAATGAATACAGGAATGTACCAAGTGTGGGTTAAAACCAGCTACAGCAGCAGCAGGCGTTGCAGCCACCCACCTCGCTTCCAGTCAGGTGGCAAAACTCCACGGCACCCGTGGAGTTTGCAATGCCAACCATGGGATGTTCTGCAACAGGAACATGGCACCTAAAAGACCAAATTAAAGTGATGAATGTCCATAGTTCTTGTATTTTAGGAGGAGAGCAGAGTCGTAACATTTATTCCAAGATGCACACGGAGAAGGTTACATGACCAGAAAGATCTCATGTTAAGAAAATCTAAGTCTCCTCGTGTTGCCCCAAACCTGTGTGGAGGGGATTAGATGTAAGGGAGATGTACTACATGTCATTATATAAATAAATGAGGTACAAAGTCACTGGCCAGCTGCTCGACAAATGAGCAGAAAGTGCAACACAGAAACGAGCCAGTCTTTGCTCACTGGAACAAACGAGAGAGTATTTCCCTCCAGGAAGTCAGGAACCATTTGGGTGGTAAAATATTACAGCTGCTGCCACGCTAAGAGCCGAGAGAGATTCCCTTGGAGCCCCTGCTGTGCACCTGATGTCCAGGATGGCACCAGCCCTGGCCCACCCAGCATTACCATTTGATGTCCAGGACGGCGGCCGTGTCGATGCGCTGGATTTCGGTCAGTGGGATGTAGGGCTGCTCCTCGTTGTAGTGGTACAGGTAGAGACGCCCGGTACGGTCACAGGCCCCATTAGAGCTGCCTCGGGAATCGCTCTGTGCCAAACACCGGGAAGAACAGGGCGGGATTAGCCGTTCCTGCCTCCCCACCCGCGAGGAGCGGCGAGCGGGAGTTGGGCTGAGGCTCTCACTTTATCCCTTGAGGGATAAAAGCCACACAGCCCTCTCGGGGCCGGAGGGGCCCACTCAGCCCCACCTCGAGCCACCCCAGCGGGACAAGGCACTGACCGGGCGCGGGGACCGGCAGCACCGGGACCGGGACCAGGGTTAGGAGCGGGCCGCGAGAACCGGCCGGGACCGGGGCCGGTCAGGGACAGGAGCTCACCCCGGAGCAGGGCCGGGCGGACAGGGCCGGGGATGGGGCTCATCCCGGGGCGGTGCCGGGCTCACCTCTGCGGGCGGGCGCAGGTGGTAGGTGCCGCAGGCCAGGATGCTGTGCCAGCCCTCCACCGGGCACCACTCCACCGCGTCCGCGCTGAACTCCGTGTCCACCACCTGCAGCGTGCGCGTCCGGCACGGCGCGGCCATGGCGGGCCCGGCGGGGGCGGCACCTCCGGGGCGGCACCGCCCGTCTGCTTCCCGGTCAGGGCGGGCCCGGGGCGGGGCTGCCCCTCAGAGCCGCCCCTTCCCCTTGGAGGGCCTGTTACCCTCAGAGCGCCCCTTCCCTTTAGAGCGCCCCTTCCCCTCGGAGCCGCCCCTTCCCCTCAGAGCCGCCCTTTCCCCTTGGAGCGCCCCTTCCCTTTAGAGCCGCCCCTTCCCCTCAGAGCCTCCCTTTCCCCTTGGAGCGCCCCTTCCCCTCAGAGCGCGCCTTCCCTCTCAGAGCCTCCCCTTCCCCTCGGAGCGCCCGTTCCTCTCAGAGCGCCCCTTGCCCTCAGAGCCGCCCCTTCCCTTCAGAGCCACCCCATCCTCCTCAGAGCGCCCCTTGCCCGCGGGGATACCGCCCAGCCTGGCCGGGTCCGTGGGCACAGCCCGAGATCCCTCCTGGTTTTGTGCCAGCTCCCTCCCCCAGGGAAGGGGATGTAGCTCAAGCCCCCGCCGGTGCGGGTGCGCTGTTCTCAACCCGGCAGCTGCTCACGAGAGAGAACCAGCACCAACCTCGGCATCCTCCCTGTGCATCTCAGAGGCCTTCCCCAGACCCCTGGCCCTCGCCTCTCTTCAGAGCAGACACATCGCTGTGCCCTGGCAGCTGTTCCGGAGCACGGAGGGATCTCCCACCCCTGCCCTGAGCCTTTTCCCTTTCTTCTTTCCCCTCAGTCCTCTCCCAGAGGGAGGAGAGGTCGGGCTGCAGCACACCGAGCAATTCACACCCCCGTGCTGGGCTCTGCTCCCCCGTCCTCCCCTGGAGCCTGGATTGCTGCTGCTCCCCAGGCAGAAATTCCTGCAGGACTGTGTTTCACAACCCAGAGGTGTCATTGCTGAGTGAAAAGAGCCAAGGCCTTGCCTTTTAGTGTTTCCCCATAACCAACACTACATTTATTGTTGAATTTCATCTGCCAGTCTGTCTCATAACATCCTTCTGCAATTCTTCACTCAGCCTTTATTATATTATTACACTGAATAGCTTCCTCAGTAGATGTTCTCACCTTCCTCACTCCTTTTCCCAATTATTTTTTAATATATTGGACATCCAGTTGTTTACTTCCCTCCACTAAAGAAACCCTCCCTTCAACTATTCCTTTCCCATCTTCTAAACAGTTGTTTGTCCATAAGTCACTCCCCCTTTTCCATCAGCAGGTTTTTTTCCTCAAGTGCCTTGAGCAAAGTCAGGATTAAGTGCAGTTTGGAAGCTCAAGCAGACTAGTAATAACCAAATCCCCTTCTCCCTGCACATTCACACCACTGAAACTATTCCAGCAGAGCTTCGAAGCACGACCTCCCCGTACAAAACCCACCCCAATATTCAGCCATGGGTGCTACATCACACCTATGAATTTGCTAAGTGCAGGTGGCTGGGGTTTGAAACCCCTTCCAGGAGCTGCTGTGCCACTTGCTGTGACATTTTACCAAGGGACAGGTCACCAGCCCAGCTGGGAGCTCGGCTGATTCACCCCAAGTTGCCAGGACCAGCCGGTGCCACCTACGGCTCCGGAGGAGCCGTAGGTGGCACCGGCTGGTCCTGGCAACTTGTTGCTGCTCATTTCAGCTGAACTTTAATCTCTCCCCAAAGCACTTCTGTTCTGAACAGACTCCCCGTGCAGTTCTCCATATGGAAGTATTCCTGTGTGAACTCCCCCAGCTCTCTCACAGGGAACACAGATGCAAACGATTCACTGGATTTCCTTCCCATGACTTTTTATCCTCCGGTCAGCCCCAGCCTTTACTGTGCATCACATCTCACTCCAGCAGTGCCCCTGATGTTTCCAGAACTACACATGCAAGTTTTATGACTTGAATGCTCTCTGTATTCCATTTTTCTTTGCATTATTTTGTTGGGTTTTTTTTTTTTCCTCTTTTTCCACATTTTACCTGCCGAGTCTTATTTCCCTCTTTTTCATTTGAACACATGCTCAATTTTAAAGGATTTCTTCTTACTCTTGAGTAAGAAGTTGCTGTTTAACCACACCAACCTCTTTTTGTCCCCTCAGTGCTGTTCTGCTGTAGCTTTGCTCCTGGCCCCTCTATGCCCATCTCCACAACCCCCACAAGCATTTAAGTCTCTCAGCTGCTCCTTTTAACTTCACCAGTTTCACTTAAATTAAATCACAGAGGAAAACCCGAGAGACATAAGGGATTTGGTTCCAGTGGAGACAATGTATTACTAACCTTAGATTTACAAGACCGACCAAAAATGAAAATTGTTATTTCATATGAACAAACCCAACACCCCTTAATCGCTTTATTAGACACGGGTGCAGACAGTAGCATTATCTCTCCTGACTTTTGGCCGAAAGATTGGCCTCTGTTCGCTTCTAATGCCACAATTACAGGAGTTGGAGGAATTTCTGTTGGCAAACGCACGCCTCTCTTGACTGTGACTATTAACAACAAAACAACTCGAGCGGTTTTTTCTGTTGTTCTGCTGCCACCTACTGCTCAATGCCTTATAGGACGTGATATTTTATCACAATTACAATGGGTCCTTACCAGTGATCACCCTTTGGGGTATTAGCCGCTGCTTGGGCTTTCCCAATCCGCTTAATGTGGAAATCTGATCATCCTGTTTGGGTTAAGCAGTGGCCTTTAAAAAGGGAAAGCCTCGAACATGCTCAGATTAAACAGCTACGTGACACATTTAATGATATTAGTGTTGCTACTAGTTGGTTTGATCATTGACTGTCTTCTTTAGGTATTTCTGGCTGGCTTTTTGACCTTATTAAGCATGGCATCATTATTGTTCATATAATCTTACTAATTTTAATGTTTCTTCCATGTATTCTGCAATGTGTGCACCACCAAATCGTGTGGAGAGTCTTGCTTGAGAATGGCTGCATGACCGAGGTCATGAAGCTGCAGATACGTCTGCAACTGATATCGATAACGGATGGAAAAGTACAAGGTAAGAAGATGAAACTGGCCTGGCGATAAGAAGAAAGAAAAACAGGAAAGGCCTGCTTTACTTTAAGGATGCTTATGTCTAGAAACTGACATTTATGACTTTAAAAAATGTAGTAGATTCTGTTGCGTATCCTGTTTCAAGTTATGCTATTGCCAAAGATTTTAGCCAATAATAGTAAGTTTCTTTGTTCTGTATAACCAATGATTATGTAGTAAACATGTAGCATGGACCAATCAGAACTTTACAAGTATTGATTGTAACGTATATAAGCAGTACTAAAGAATCAATAAATCGAGACTTGAAGCATCATCCTTGCTCGTGTCTCCCAGCGTTTCGCGGCACACTGATCACACACCTTCCCACTCCCATCAGGGACCTGCTGTCCTTATTGCAGTCCCCAGGTCCTTTTCAAGAGTCAAAATCCCTGTGGCCACTTCCCTGCTCTGGCACAAGGACAGTGTGGAGTCAAACATCACTGACTGAGGTCAGAACCTGCGTTATTTCCCTTTGCACCGTGTTTGGGCAACTTCTTTCTTTCCTTTGGGTTGTTCACAGCCCTCTGACCACCAGGGCCATCTTCCCTCCCCACCAGCCTCACCCCACCCTCCCAACCCCTTTCCTCCCACAGTCCTGGGATCAGGATTCCCCAAGGTCCACCATCCTGAAGATTTTTTGAGTCCAACCCTTTGAGTCCCATCCCTTCCTTCATTCCCTCCTTTCCCCACTGCCCACCAAGCCTTGCTCTGTCCCCCGTCCTTGTCCTCACTGCAGCAACATCTCAAACATCAGCACTAACTTTTCCCTGCTCAAAGTGTTTAAAGACTGCACTTCATTTTGCTGAACGTGCTGCCTGGTAATAAAATGGCAAATTGGCAGGACAAATAGCAGCCTTTAAAACAGGCAAGGAAAAAAAAAAAAAAAAAAGGCAATACTTCTGCCCTTTTCAATGGATTGCCTCTTATAAAAAAAAATCCTTGTGTCCCATTGTATATTCATCAAAACAGTTCATTTAAAGCAAATAATTGAATGTTTCCTTAAAAAAAAAAGCAAAAAAAAATCACCCATTACAGGAAAATTTTAGTAGGTCCTGCCTGACTTCTTCATACTGAAGGGCATTTTAGGCTTCCTGAGCAGAAAAATTACAGTACAACCATGATTTAAGAGTGGCAACTTGACCAAGTGCCTGAAAGTGAACTTCCAGCAGGAAGTTTCAAAAGTTCTTTGTTATTTCCTAAGAAGTTTAAAGCCAAAGGATGAAAACCCACCCAAATGTTAATAATTCAGAACTTCCTGTGCAGATATTAGAAACAGAATGTAATATTGGAAGTCCACAGCAGTTCAATTTTCTAACAAACTGAATACAAGCAAGACCAACACTGCAACATGAAGTGGCAAAGTGAATCCTGATTGAAAAATGGAAATCCTAAACGGTTTTCACAAAAAAACTTTCACCAAGCACTCCAAGAAAGGCTCTGCATTAACACTCAGCAGCTCACATTCTTCTACTGTGAAGCAAGACTAACAGCTGGCACTAAATTACCCATTTAGTTCTTCAGGAAATTCAGTTGATGGTCCTTATATTTCTAAGGCAAAAATGAAAAAGAAAAAAACTTTCAGGTAAGTCATGAAAACAAAAACGGGCATGTGCTCTGCAAGGGAAATCCTCAAAAAAAAAATCAAAAAGCGATTCTTGGATTGATGACAACTCTTAAAAAAAATTAATAAATAACTCAGATTATTAAATAGTTCACTGAAACATCTCTGCACGAGAGGAGTATTTGCTGTGCTGCCAGGGAAGCCACAAGGACACCACATCCACACACAGCTGCTGCCTGAGCTTCCCTCCAGCTCCTCCATGTGCAAGGGGTTTGGGACAGAAAGCTGCTGGAGCTTTCCAAATCCTGGCTGCTCCAAGGCTCATCTCCAGCACCCCCTCTGAGGCTGCAGCTGCCCGAACACACATCCCAGATGGTCCCTACACCCCACGCCAGCTCCTGGGGCACCGCTTCCCACCCCGCAGGGAATTCCAGCGTCCAGGGGTGCCTGTGC